AAATCGTCAACTCCTACTCGGCTCACGGCGTCTGCCCTCAATGCCCAATTCAGTTCAGTTGTCACCGATCCGCAGCGGCCTGATGTCCTATCCCAACCTGAGGGACCAAGTATAGCAGCTGGCCTGAACCGCTTCGAACCAGCCACCTGCGAAGAAGTGCTTGTTCTCCTACTGAAGATAGATGAGAGGAAGGCCACGGGTAGCGACGGAATTCCCTGCTATGTGTTGCGACACTGCGCTCGGGTCCTGGCCCCGTCACTGACTATCTTGATGAACGCGTCACTGGCCATGGGAAAGGTTCCGATGATGCTGAAATTGGCCCATATTCAGGCGCCCCATTTTTCAAGGCAGGGGACCCCGAAACTGCTAAGAACTACTGCCCTATATCTTTGCTTCCGGTTGTTTCAAAGATCCTGGAAAGGATTGTGCATAAAAGGCTATGTGGGCTCCTAACCGAACATGACCTCCTTCCTGCTGAGCCATTCGCTTACCGAGCACACCACTCCACAGAGGACGCAGTCTTGTTGGCTGTGGATCAATTGTATGAAGCCGCAAACCAGCACCTGCATACCGGCGTGGTGCTTATAGATATGAACAAAACTTTCGACAAGGTCTAACATCAGACCTTGCTGCAGGATCTCTTCGAACTTGGTGTCTCCTCTACGGCACTGGACTGGCTTGGGGACTACATGCTCGACCCTACTCTCTCCTACAGAGTGCACACTCGCAGTGTTGCACTGTGCGCCTCCCAAAGGCTGGGTTTCCTACGAAAGGCAGCACCCATCCTGGACGACCATGGTCGAGTGACGGTCTACAAGGGATTCGTGCGACCCCTACTTGAATATGCCCCACTGGCCTGGTCGAGCGCAGCCGCAACTAACATGGCCCAGCTGGACAAGGTTCAGCAACGTGCCCTGCATTTCCTGGGACCTGGAACCATCCTCCAAAGTCTCCAGCTTCGTCGGATGGTGGCAGCCCTGTCATACTTATTCAAGCTGCACTACATTCCAGGGCCTCCCCAGGTAAAGGCCATGCTGCCACCAACCAAGCCCCCTGCCGTAGCTAGCATGTGCACACGGCAAAAACGCCAGACGCACCATGCCTTTCAGCTGAAGTGGACACCCCGTCGCACAGCCCCTGACTACCTCCTGCGATCCTTCCCCTTCTTCGCCATCACACCCTGGAACAACCTGCCTGCGGACCTCCTGCTTCACGAGCCTCATTCAAGACGCCTCCAAACCTTCAAGGTCAACGTATGTAAGGATCTTATCCGAAAGAGATGGCTGTGGTCCACACAGTACCTGTGACGATGATATTGAGACCCATTTAGTATTTACCTCTCTACTAGTACTTGCTTGTTATGATTATTGTTCTCTTTCTTCCTTTGCCCTTCTGGTTTAGTCATTACACGTATTTATATTATTTGGTGCAATACTAGCGCCCCTTTCTCGTACCAAATTATTATTTTTGCTACCTGACCATGCACCCCCCCCCCCCCCTGTTCTCGATGCCAGGTTGCAACGCTAACGCCGAGACCCCTGGCCGGTCGAGTTGCTCCCTGTACATCGGCACGTCGTCCCTACATCCCCTGTGTCTTGTCTTGTGTTTGTCTCCACATGTCTCTTTGTAGGGCTGTGTTCCCAATAAAAAATAAAATTAATAATAAATAAAAAAATACCTCAGCGCGCGACGCCAGTGTGTGGTCACTGCCAACGGTACACACTCAGAGGAAACAGCTTGCACGAGCGGTGTCCCCCATGGAAGCGTGCTTGGTCCGATATTATTCGCAATCTACACGAGATGTGTCGCATCAGTAGCTGACCCGGTGCATACTCTAATGTTCGCAGACGACGTCATGCTGTACCTGAGCCACGCTAGCGCTCTCACCATCAACATCACCCTTTCCGCAGCAGTGTCGGCTGGTGCCAGGCTACTCGATCCCAAAGGGCTTATCCTCAACACCGGAAAGACGCAAGTGCTTGCAATCAAAGCTGGACGGCAGGCACACCTCGACCTCCACATTACTTGCACTGGCACGCCTCTTGCCCAGACCAGTACGGCTCGCTACCTCGGAGTCACTCTGGACGAAAATCTTCGGTGGTCACCGCAAGTCACCTCTATCGTCCGACGCACGGCTATGATGCTGCGGATCCTCCGCCAGATCCGGCACTGCCTAATAATGCGGCAGGCGATGCTGTATTACTCTGCCCTTGTCATACCGGATATTCCATATGCGTCGAATGCGTTTCTCCCAGGACTGTCCGCTGAGGAGCGGAACACAGTAGCCAAACTGGATAAACGTTGCATCCGGTGCGTGGCCGATGAGCATCCATTGGCCCACACTCTTCCCCTGTACACCAGGCTGGGTGTCTCCCCAGGCCTGGAACGAGGGGAATGCAAGCTCAGACTCCTGACGTTTCGAATCCGTTCTGAAATCGTCAGTAAGCTGTTTGCGTCCCGACTTGTATTGCAAGGCCCGCCGACAGGCATGACCACTCGAGGTCAGTTGGGACGCAACCTTCCCCTCCCCCTGGCCCACAGTGCTTCTGGCGCATGCCGACCGCTTCTAGCCAGCTGCTGACTCTGGAATGGCCTGCCCGACTGTATGAAGTCCATAGTATCTGTCCGTGAATTCAAACGCATGCTACGCGTATTTTACTTCGGTTAATTAAATGTAATGGCTCTCTTCATTTCTGACTCTTCTTACTGGTTGTCATCGCTTTCATAATATTGGGCGGAACTGCCCGTTTGCCATTCGATGTAAAAAAAAATAAACAACTGCAACAACAAAGAGGTGCAGAGCTGTGAAAACAGCACCGAAGAAGACAATGCCGGAGACACCCAGTCGACGAGTCACTCGCAGCCAGGTGAGGATGCGTACTGGAGGAGACGAACAGGCGACGATACTGGAAGTGACAACGAGCGTAAGTGGGAGGAAGCGTGGAAGACCACCACGAAAGCCAGTGATCAAGACAACGGAAGAGTCAGACACCGGACGAGTGGCCGGGCGGTGTGATGGAAGGGACGAGTCAGGACCTGCAGCATCGGAAGTGACAAGGCGACTGCCCAGTGGAAAGGACGAATCAAGAGCTGCGACATCGGAGATGACAAAAAAGACGAGAAATTCCAACAGTCAGCAATCGGCGATCAAGAGTCATCTGTGGGTTAGTGATAGTTGTCGTAAGTTGTACAGAGATGATGTTTTCTCAGTTTGGCCCGTGGTAGATCTGTATTACATTTGTCTGTTTTGGAAGCGTTATATATTCGCAAGTTGTCCCCTGCACTGTGTGTCCAGAAGGAAAATGTTTTGTTGCTTCAGTTGTTTGGCGCTAATCCTCGTGAAAGTGTCAGGAATGCTTCTTCTCATTGATGTTTTCAGTATGTTGTAATCATTTCTTCACCTTCACCTTGTTGACTTGTTCAGCTGAATTATATTTTTCCACACGTATAGCGTGAGTTCTCAATCTATGCTTTTTGCTCTATAAGTTGCTGTATTTGATATTTTTCCATTATTCCCTGTATTAACCCATGATGAGAAGGGAACGAACACGTTCGGTTAATGAATTGGCTTACCTGACTGTGTGCATTGCGTCGGTGCTGACACCTTTCTTTCGAAATTGGATACGCCTCCAATTTTCCCTTAATTTTAGTAGTAGTATTCTTTTATTTATAGTGGAGAAACCAAAACAGGCAGATGCCTAATAACAATGGGCCCACTAGGAGGGTATTTTGAATAGGGCAGTCCCACAGACCTATAACGGAAAAGAGTTTACGAAATACTTGTAACCAGGACTGGCCCATTATTGTTACATTTGATTCGTCGGATTTATTTCCTGAATGTGTTGTTCGAGTTTGCCATTCGCTAACATGCTAGCAGCTTTTACTGTGTTCTTTCAACTTTTAGATCTTCTCGATATCATCCGCCTTCCGAGTGACTTCATCATGTCGATTCAAACTCATCGCTCCCGCCAATCGAAATGGATAACTGTTCGCCTACCAGCCCTTAATAAACGTCAATCAAAAACGCACAGCCACTTTGAAATTGAAATATCACGCTTATACGGTCCTGTGTTGTGTATGGTTTCCACCAAAGGTAGAGAGGAGTTTGGGTTTTCTATCTTGGTAGAACATCCTATCAACGTTGCAGTGCGAGTGAGTGCTGTGACTCAGGATGGAAAGAGACGCATATCTATCCCGTATAGATTTCCGTTTCTATTCTGAAACCATTATTGATATAGACTTGCCCTGCCCCGCCTAGCCTAGCAGGTGCGAGCTCACTGCTTTCTTCCATTGCTCTCAAAACAAACGTGAGCGCACCTTTACTGGTACCTCCCTCCTATTGTAAGTCTCGCTCCTCTCCTACCCTTCTACCCGTACTTGTACATCTGTCCCGCTTGATTTTCTCTACTCACCAGTCTATCGACAAACTTCCCCATCATCATTATCCGTAGTTTTCACGACGCGTAGCCCATGCAATGAGCGGTCTATCACTCACGGCTGGGCGCACCGCATTGACACATTTGAATAGCCACGAGTTGGTATCATCTGTCCTCGTCCATTTGTTATCTCGTGCAGTTCAGTGATGAACCCCTCCTGATGCAATCTAATGTTCCATAGCTGAAACTTATATTTTGGCAGAAGCGCTAGAATGTAAATCTCAGCCGCCTTGCAATTTTGCTGCTGATGTTGTTGTCTTGTTGATTACAGTTAACATTTTTTTATTTTTCACAAAAAAACACTTAAATGCCAACAAAAATGCTGGTGTAGTATCCCTACCTGGCTAGTGCCTTGCTTGATTGTAGCGTATCCCCGTGTTAGCGTATCCCCGTACGTTAGCGTATGTGGTCTGTTGCATAAAAGCTGCTTGCCATTTCTGTTTTCATGAGAATTTATAACAACGACAAAGCCGAGCAGAAGAGCTGTTCAACCTCCGGTGCACACATGGAGGTTGAACAGCTCTTGTTAGATTACAGACACCTAACCACAAGTTGCACCAGCTCACGAAACATGGGGACAGAGATTCACTTTACTTGTTACGTTGGTATCAACACCAAAGAATCTGTGAAGACTGTATTCTGCTGACTGACGTTACACTCTAATGTCCATATACACATGTAACGACAGCGCGACAAACTCATATCAAACAGAGCATCACACGCTCGTGAGAACGCTCGTAATAACACTGAACTAGACTAAGAAAGATGGATCCTAATATCCCTGCAAGAGCGGGACGTTGTCCCGCTCTCAGAAGCCAGCGCTAGCCTAAGTCTACAATAGAGTAAGAGGTGAGAGCTGTCATGCATGCAGCGGAACAGCCAGTGAATAGAGAGTCCTGAGGGCTAAACCAACCATGAACAATACATAAAACCAGACACCATACATTATGAAACAAAGCTGGCTCCACAAGCTCAATGGTCTGTGAACTTTCAATTCCACATTTCCTCCCCCTCTGCTCGAACACAGCCATAATGTGAGGGCAGTAACCTAATAAACTATAACTAGCAGAACATTTTAAGAGGCCTACGCATTATCTAAACTAAAGGTAACCATGTCAACACATCATGACAGTTCTAAACTAAGGCAGCATTATGTAACTAGTGTAAAATAACCAGTGTCAATAAGGCATTCAGCTCAGGTCTTTGGTGATACGTGTCAAACGTCTAGCGCTGGAACCACTGCTCACGTATCCTGGACATCTGCTAGCGAGACTTCAGCGGTTGCAGGTAGACTCTTCGACTCGTCAACGGCACCTGACTCTACCTCTAACGGCACCAAGATGTTGACAGGACGACGGTATGTCTTGCTGTTCAGTAGGATGTCCACCACTCGCACTACACCATCTGAGCCTGGGTGTACTTTCGTCACTCGAGCGAGAGGCCAACGTGCCCTTGCTGTGGTCTTCTCCATCGTCTGGACGACATCTCCGATGGTTACATTCCTGCCTTCCTTGTGCCACTTAGCACGGATAGTAAGCCGAGGGACGAATTCTTCAAGCCAACGGCGCCAGATGTTGCGTACCAATAGCTGTACGTATTTCCATCTCTTCCTTGGATGAACTTTATCCTGGTCGTCTTCATGGTCTTCAATGGGTAGCACGATGTCCATGTGGCCAACCAGGAAGTGTTGAGGCGTCAACGGCATAAGGTCTTCAGGGTCGGTCGACAGCGTTGTCAGTGGGCGGCTGTTCACTAGGCTCTCAGCTTGCACCAGAGCGGTGTGTAGCTCCTCGTCGCTGAGGTCGGCACGGTAGAGGACCTTGTGGAGAGTTCTCTTCATGGCTTTCACCATGGTCTCGAACACTCCTCCAAAGTGTGGCGCAGCGGGCGGGTTAAACCTCCACTTGATGCGGTGGGAGGCCAACTCCCGGGTGACTTTGGCTGTGTCAACAGCGGCTAACGCTTCTCTGATCTCCCGTTCTCCCGCGACGAAGTTGGTTCCATTATCCGTCAGTATCTCTGATGGCATACCTCGTCGTTTCCAGAATCGTTCCAGTGCCATCAGTAAGCCTTCAGTGTTCATCGAGTAGACCAGCTCAAAGTGGCAGGCTCGTGACTGAAGGCATGTAAATACACACACATACCTTTTTGTCTGAACTCGGCCACGGCCTTGTCGCGTCAGGAATGGCCCGGCATAGTCGATGCTCGAGAAAGCTCTCAGTGGTCCAGATGTGCGGAAATCTGGGAGGGGAGCCATCTGAGGTACTACTGGCTTGCCGCGTGCTTTCTTGCAGCTCACACACTTGTTCCGGTGTTGTTTCACAGCTGCTTTCCCTTTCACTATCTAGTAGATGGTACTCAAGTTGGCGAGGAGGTGATTTGTGCCCACGGCATGGCTACATCTCCGATCTTCCTCATCGATGATCAACTCTGTCACTCGATGATGCCGGGGCAGGATTGTCGGACTTCTGGCTGTCTCCGACAGGTGCTGAGCTCCATTCAGTCGGCCTCCAACTTTCATGACTTGGGTGGTACCTGTTGACATCATGGGCTGCAGTGAGATGAGCGGCCCAGTTGTGACTTTCCTGCCCTTCTTGAGCACATTGTAGGTGCTACCATACGCGTCCTTCTGGGCCTCGCGGATCCACACGTGTCGGGCATCCTCTAACTCTGATGGTGTAAGTTCCTGTACCAGCACGGTCTTGCCATTGCCAAGTGTGACATCAACACCTGTCTGATCAGTCGAGCCACTCTTGCTGCGCCGCAGGGCTCGCCGACACCATGCTGTTATCCTCACAAGTCGCGTCCATGAGGAATACTGACTCGGCTCTAGTCGACAAGCACCTTCAGTTGCTGCTAAGTGGGTCGTAATCTGGCTGCGTTTGGTCTCATTTGGCAGCTTCTCCGGAACGACTATGCGCAGAGCAGGCCACTGGGACTCTACTTGCTGTAGAAACTGTGGTCCATGCCACCAGGCTGCACAATCAGCGAGGTCCTTTGCAGCCATGCCTCTGGTCGGGTAGTTGGCAGGGTTGACCTTCCCAGGCACATGCCTCCACTGGTGACTTGATGTTGCCGTTTGGATCTCACCAATCTTCACCCCGACGTCGGTGGTAAATCGCCGGCTGTGGGATCGCACCCAGTACAGGACATTCATGCTGTCCGTCCAGAAGACGTGGTCCTGCATGGGAATGCCGAGGGCTGAAGACACTTCTTTGCTGACTTGCACACCCAACACTGCTGCCTTCAGCTCCATCTTCGGTATGGACACCTTCTTGGTGGGCGCCAGTCGCGCCTTGCTAATAGCGAGTGTGGTCTTCACTCCAGTTGAATGGATGGTGCTCACATAAGCCACGGCGGCAATGGCGGCATCAGACGCATTAACAAAGACATGTACTTTAGTCTTGACGTCTTCTGCATCCTTGGGCTTGAAGCAACGGTCAATACGGATAGCAGACAGGTCTGGCAGCTCGGAGAACCACTTCTTCCAACGCTTCTGTTCATCAGCACTCAGCACGTCGTCCCAACCATGGCCGCGTATGCAGGCTTCCTGAAACATCATGCGCGGTCGTATGGTGAACGGCGTCAGTTGTCCACGTGGGTCGAAGATTGAGGCTGTCTCACGCAATACTACTCGTTTTGTCAGCTCGTCAATCGGCTCTGGCTGGGGATAGCGGAATGCGAACTCATCCTCTTTCGCTAGCCAAGTGATGCCCAGGGCCTTGGAGGTTGGGAGAAAGCTATCAGCTTGATCTCGTAAGTTGACGACAACCTCTGCTGCTCGGTCGACTTCTGGGATGGTGTCCAACACTTCCGCTGAGTTGCTGAGCCTTTTTCGAATATGGAAGCCTCCCCCTTTGAGGACATCAGTAACTCCCCGGCGGGCGTTTGTCGCTGTCTGGATGTCCGGAAATGAATGCAGCATGTCATCCACGTAGAAGCTGTTGTCGACTATCGACGCTACATTGACACTGCCCTCTGCTGATGACTTGAACTTTCTCGCTGTCTCCTTGAGCACTTTGCCCGCGAGATACGGTGATGCCTTGAGACCGAACACAAGACGGTTAAACTCAAACACGCTCGGTTTTGAGTCTGGTGATTTGCGCCACAAGAACCGTGTGTAGCGACAATCTTCCGGACGGAGGTTGACTTGCAGAAACATTTCACTAATGTCACCAGCGAGTGCGATCGGTTCTGAGCAGAAGCGTAGGAGCACATGAACCAGGTTTGTCTGTAGCTTTGGGCCTGTCAGCATTTCATCATTCAAGCTGCTGCCCTTCCAGCGTGCTGCTGCATCGAAGACGATACGCACATTGGTAGTTTGGCGATCTTCCTTCACCACGGCGAAATGTGGTAGATACCACTGGTCATTGGCGTCTGTAGCGACTCTGCTGTCTGACACCTCCTGAACGTAACCCTTGTCGATATTCTTTTGCATCGCCTCACAGTACGCTGAGAGCACGTCTGGTTGTTTGTTCAGTGACCTCTCCAGTGATACTAGCCGGCGTTCTGCCATCGGCCGATTGTTGTGCACTGTCGGGCCGTCTGGATGTTTCCATGGAATGCCGACTTCAAACCGCCCGTTGTCGCAGCGCAATGTTGCTGCTGTCATGGTTTCAGCTTCCTTCTCAGCTGGTGTTAGATACTCCTTGTCGTTGGTGTTCGTCATTGATTCTGCCTCCCACAGCTGTCGCACGACATTCTCTAAGTTGGCACTGTTGAAATGGGTTGCCATTGGCTGCTGCTGCTGCTGCTGTTGCTGCTGCTTCATGGGCCCGAAGCATACCCATCCAACTGGCAGCTTGCGAGCTATTGGATCATTTGACTCTTGGCCGACAATTTCTTGTAGAACACGGTGAGCGCCTGGGACATTCAATCCAATAAGCACATCCACTTGCTCTGTCGGTAATGTTGGAAATGGAATGTCCTGTAGGTGGGCGTATTCTTGCAGGAGCATCGAGTTGGAGTCGACTCTCAGTGACGGCGAGACTGCTGGGAGAGTCCATGCCGCAAGGTCAGTGCTGTATGTTCCGTCTTCGCTGGCCATGGTGATATGTACTTCTTTGGATTGGCGACTCACATTCTGTCCAGCCAGAACATTAGAGCGGAGGGGTTGCAATTCACCGTCTGCGCCCAACTCATTGGCAACTTCTTCTGAGACGAAACTGTCTGATGATGCAGGATCCATCAGGGCTGTTCCTCTGTACTCTCGTCCGTTTCTCTTAAGCACCACTGGCACTGTCATAAACGAGACGGTGGTGCTGGGAGTGATCAGCTCCGATGATGGATTCACGAAGTGTATGACTGGCTTCTGGGCTGTCTTGCCACTAGAATGGGGAGCAGACCGAGGCTTTTCTTTATCTTGCTGCTTCGGTGTGCCCTGTTTCCGGTCCACACGGTCTGTGTGTAGCAACACATGGTGTCGGGCTGAACATTTGCTGCAGCTACTTGCCTGGCAGTCAGCCTTCCAGTGAGCTTGATCTAGGCAGCACGAGCAGAGCTCCAGCAGAAACACCAGGTCCCACCTCTTCCGGGCAGGTAAGGTTTTGAACTTGCCACAGCTGCTGATGTGGTGAGCGCCATGGCATCTCAGGCATACGCCGCTCTTGCTGGTTGCCGATGTCGTTGTGTGGAACGTTCCACTGCTCTGCTTGTTCACTGGTATCCTTGTGGTTGCGACTAAGGTCGCTGCATCGGCTCTTGCCGACAGCAACGTAGCGAATGTCTCAAGACTCACTGAGTCGACTGCCCGGCTGTTGGTATTTAGGTGTTCGCCCCACTGCAGCCTCAGCGTACCGGGTAGCTTGTCGGTCAGCTCTCTCCGGAGCGTTGGGTTCAGCATATGGCCTGGACTCTTCATCAGTTTCATTGTCGTGACTACATTGCTTACTGCTGTTGAGAACGCCAACAAGCCATCGGTGTCATCAGCCTTAACCTGCCGGAATGCGCGCGCCTTGCCAATCAATTCATCCACTACTAGCTCTGGTCGACCAAATCGCCGCTCCAGAGCGCGGATGGCCTCTTCCACATTTTCAGGAACTGCCAGTATCAGTTGAACAGCATCCTTGGCCTGGCCTTTCAAGGCAACTTGTAGTCTTTGCACATTCTCTGCATCAGAGAACCCACATTGGTTGGTGCTGGACCGATACAGGTTGATGAAGGCAGGCCACTCTTCAGCTCTACCAGAGAACATGGGCAGTTTGGTGTTGATGGAGGACTGTCTGGCTGCCAAGTGTCTCATGGGCGTGTCTCCATTGCCTGGTGTCCGACTGGTGATGGCTTGCGTCATGGCACCGAGAAACTGTCCTGCTAGCTTAGTCATACTGTCCTCACCAGCAGGTCCTGCAGGTGTGGGCGATCGCGGCTTTACTTGCGTGGGTGGTCGCTTCGCCTGGTCATCCCACTCATAGCTGGGGCACGCACTGCTGTAGCCGTCGATTGGCACTGGCGTTGAGGCTTTCTGTGTACCGGGACACAATCCTTTGCCAATGCGACTCCCAGTCCTAGAGTTCGAACGGCTGTTGGCGCGACTCGCGTCCCGTTTATCGATGCTGGTGTTGCACTCCCGTAGGAATAGCCTTTGCCATTCACCCGCTTCCTCCTGGGCACGCTCGACTCTCCCCTGCATCACTGCCAGCTGCGCTAGCAGTGTATCGTTCTCTTCCTCCAGCTCCGCGACGCGATCGTGTCCAGGGTGCGTGCTGCTCTGGCATCGATCCTTGGCGAGCAACCCATCGTGAGCTGCGCCGATGTCCATGCATCGTCGTTCCGCTTCACCAATTTGATCATTCAGCTGGTCGCATTGATCGAAGAGGTCTCTATTCTCTTTCTGAATAGTCGCGTGCCTCTCTTCCATGAAACGAATCGACGCCTGACAGCCAGCAACCTCTCTCGTCTTGGCTTTTACACGATCGTCCAGGACACCGATTTGCCGTTGGTACTCTAGTTCTTTGCGCTGGAACTCCGATCTCTCGACCATCAATGCATCATTGCCGTAGGCCTGGCAGACGAGACGTACACACAGTCACTGTTGGGTCCGCACTCTGACCTCACGCTCAGGCGCTGTCGGTCAATTGCGGGTGGGGGTGCGGCTGCGATCTCCGTGCGCGCGTACCCATCCAAGTCTGTTTCCGAGTCCGTTTCGCGGGATGGAGCTGCACTCCTCGCGTGCTCACTACGCTCTGCAGGCACAGGCTGCTGCTGGCTCGCTGTCGCCGGTGTGACAGGATCGGGCGTACTTGCTGGTGATTCCGTCGGGAGCGCATCCGCTTCATCGAACACCTCTTGCTGCAAGCGCGGCGACGTCGATCGATAGGAGACTCTCTCGCTCTGCGCTTCATCCGCGGCTAGCTTAGCGAGCTCCAAATCCTTCTCTGCCAGCTTCCTTTCCGCTTCCAGTACAGCTCGCTTTGCACTGTACCGGGTCGATGTAGACTTTCCACTGCTACGCGTGGTTCTTGTCGAGTCCACAGACTGCGACAACTCAGCGTCTTCAAAACCTAGTCGCATCGGAGGCTTCCCTTTGGTTCCTCTTTCGCTCCTACGGTGAAGACTTTCTCTATCTTCTGCCATGTCCGTATCCGGCTCGAAGCACCAGAATGTTAGATTACAGACACCTAACCACAAGTTGCACCAGCTCACGAAACATGGGGACAGAGATTCACTTTACTTGTTACGTTGGTATCAACACCAAAGAATCGGTGATTGATTGATTTTATTTACTTCGCAAGTTCAAACGGGTTCCTGGCCCAGTTATATGAAAGCGAAGGATAGAATTTGCCAAAATCCTAATGAGCAACAGCATAGGCAATATTATCATAGAAGTGGAGTACTATGCGAGCGAGAATACTGAGAAGAAAGGAACAGTCATGTCAAAACCTGACGAAACACAACCTATTTCAGGCATACATAAGGAAGGCAGGCTAGCTTAAAATCTTGCAATCTGGATACGGTGCGCACCTCTCTAGGCAAACTGTTCCACAGCAATGCTCCTGCGGTGGCGAATCTCGTTTGGCCACACCGACTGCGAGCTGGCTGGCTGAGCAGACCATTGGCATGCTGATGGCGCGTACTTCTGCCGCTGCATGCTGCTGGTTTGAGAAGCTGGGCTAGAGCAAGGCTAGTGGAGTCATTTAGACAACGCCAGATGAAGATCAGGAGTTTTTGTTTGAAAAGTTCAGTGACGCGGTAAATCGAGTTGGCAGCCAGGAGGGGCTGCATCGCGGAACATGGCGGGCTGCCATCAATGCATCGGATCGCCCGGTTTTGCATGGCTTGCAGACGCTGAAGTTGGGTCACGCGGAGGGCTGCAGAGAAGCTGCAGGCACCATAAATTATATCATATCCGGCATGACAATAGCCTTTACATATACCTTGCGCGAGCTGCGGGAGAGGCATCGACGGGCTCGCCACAAGGCGCCTATCTTCCTCGCAACTTTGGTCACTACGGCGCTGACGTGTACATCCTGAAGACTGTATTCTGCTGACTGACGTTACACTCTAATGTCCATATACACATGTAACGACAGCGCGACAAACTCATATCAAACAGAGCATCACACGCTCGTGAGAACGCTCGTAATAACACTGAACTAGACTAAGAAAGATGGATCCTAGTAATATCCCTGCAAGAGCGGGACGTTGTCCCGCTCTCAGAAGCCAGCGCTAGCCTAAGTCTACAATAGAGTAAGAGGTGAGAGCTGTCATGCATGCAGCGGAACAGCCAGTGAATAGAGAGTCCTGAGGGCTAAACCAACCATGAACAATACATAAAACCAGACACCATACATTATGAAACAAAGCTGGCTCCACAAGCTCAATGGTCTGTGAACTTTCAATTCCACAGCTCTTCTGCTCGGCTTTGTCGTTGTTATAAATTCTCACTTGCCTGCGACCCAAGAGGTCGCGGGTTCGAGCCCCGCAGTCGCACATCTGACTGCAAAATCCCCACGACACAGCTCACCACTACACCAGATCAAGGTGTGGGTCCTCTGCACTCAGTAGAGTCAAGTCGAGCGAGCTGCAACTCCCGGTGGCGAAAGGCGGGCTAACGCCCCTACATGGCTACTTCCCCTTGTCTAACCCGAAATGATAGTAGCAGACTGGCCGAAATAAATTAAAAAAATAAATAAAATTCTCATGAAAACAGAAATGGCAAGCAGCTTTTATGCAACAGACCACATACGCTAACGCACGGGGATACGCTACAATCAAGCAAGGCAGGGATACTACACTGGCAACTGAAATCCGACCCCTGAGCGTTGGGTTCACATTCTAGTGGTCTCTGTTTCGTAGTTTTGCCATCCCGTCTTGGGTCTTTGCGATGTGAGCGCTCGGGGGTCGGATTTCAGTTGCCGGCACTGTAGTAAAGAGGGAGGGGGTTCTGGTCCTGGACCAACCTCGCCTGTGGTCCAACATCGTCATTCTCGAATGCCCCTGCCAGCGCGTCCTCGAACGACTCCCCCTCCCCCTATACTACTATAATTATTCGAGGGGTCGGTGTTATTGGGTACATGTGTATTATTAGATGTGCATGTGTCACTGGGTCTATTAGAGCTGCGTGTGTTTTTTTTTGGGTATATCAGAGGATTGGATTCTCATGCAGTTCCCCTTTCCTACTCTATTGTTATCCATTTTCGTAAACCCTTTAATATACATCTTAGAATGGTCAATATATTAGAGGAGCGGTATCCATAGAAAGACCCAGCGATTCCCCCTAAAAGCAAGAGACCCACACCGTTATCTGCTTTTCTCACCGACTCCTTTGATTTTCAACTCACAATCCAGGATGGGAGTAAAATGTGGATGATTAACCATAAATGGTCAGGAATCCTACATCAAATTTACAGAGGAGACAAATAATTATCATGAATTTGAGAAGAAACGACAAAAGGTCTTGACAAAAAACCCAAAGGTCTTGAAGTTTTCCTCAGATAATGAAATTAATTTTATAAATCTATCCGTTGTATCGGAAAACGGCTAGAATCCGTAGGGCATCTGGTCAGAAGCAGGATCAACATGGCAAATGTGATCATCCAATCTTGTTTCTCCAAATTTTCCCTGACTGTGAAGTCTTTGAAGAAGAGGTTGGTGCGACTTCGGCGATAGTTGGGGAAGTATGTGTTGCTCCCTTCATGAGAGCTCGCGGTTTTCCTGCCGACTTGAATTCTCACTTGACTGACTCACAACTGCCATCCAGAGCACACGAGAAGTCCATCGAACCGTCCACTCGGCAAACCTGCAAGAAATCACCACTCCCTGCTCAATACACAGTGTTTCTGGGAATTCATCCTTCATCAGTTGAGCTTGAGTAGGCTGAGGAATATTGTGCCTGAAGAGCGCCATTATAGTGCTCTCCAGGCACAAACATCACCAGGGATACAAACTTACTGAGACGCTCCTCCAGCGCGACAAACACCTTGTGAACACCAGATAGCAGTGTGAGTCAGCGTCGCTCATGGAGCCTGATGGAGGTGCGGAACAAGCCCTGAGGACCGTTTTGTGGATGATGTTTTTTTTGTCACGACGAGGACCAAGGGACCTGCGAGAATTTTTTAACAACCCTAAACGGACTACATCCTGCATTAAAATTCACAGCAGAAGGTGAACAGGACGGTGTGATATCCTTCTTGGATGTTAGTATTACCCGCAACAGCGACACCAAGAATTTAGATATGACGGTTTACAGAAAACCCACCTTTACTGGCTTGTATATTCCATGGAGAAGCTACACATCAACTAAATCCAAAGTTCACCTTGTCAAAGCACTGGTATAATTATCGTGCCCATCGAATCTGCTCTCCTCACCTTCTACAAGAGGAACTGAGGCGGCTCACATCAATTTTGACAAACAATGGATACCCCTCGCCACTACCGTAAAATCCCATCCTCCCTGACTTCTTGTCAGGGACGTGATTGATTGTATCCTCGTATGACTCTGTCGCAGTCTGTGATTCCGTACTGTACTGCAGACGCGTGCTCAACCCCGTTGGAAATAGTGCCCACCCTCTTGACCAGGGATCGCACAAACCCTGCGTTTTGTCGGGTCTGTACGACTCCTGGCGCTTGACCTTTGGTCGGATGCACGAACAGTTTTCGTAGGGTGAGTGCTTTTTTCATGTAGCACTGAATGCGGCAAGTAGGACTCGCCCATCCGCCCCTCCCCACCTGAAGCGTCGAGGAGGTAGGGGCGCTCTGGCGGGATTTTACGGTACTAACAAAACTTATTACTTGTAATAACAAACCAATAACGCAGGATCCGAAACCATTTGGGCCGGACAGGTGCCCCATGGTACTCCGCTTACCCTGGGTGGGTGCTGGTTCTGCACGCGTGGAGAAGGAGGTGCGCAGCACTGTCTGTTCGTCTTACCCTTGCATGCAATTTTATGTAGTATTTGGAACGACGCGTGCGTTCCGTGTGAAGAAGGACGTTCTACCTACCCTCAGAAGAAGCAATCTTATCTATTATTTTCAGTGCCGAGAATATGAAAATCGGTACGTAGGTAGAACCCTTCAGCACCTGGCCCTGGGCGCACGCATCCGTCAACATGTGCCGTTAGGTCTTGTCCCTGTTGACGCTCGTGGTACTCGTCCTCGTCGTGGCCGTCCTCCAAATTATGCTGTGCCGTCTGATGCTGGAACGCCTTTGAATGCGTCCACTGTAGATGTACGCATGCGCGCCTCCGCCTCGACGGGTGGTGAGCTTGACCCATCTCAGACTAGCGTGAGGAAACGAGGGAGACCGTCCCGAAAACCACCCAATGTGACACTGCAGGTTACAGACACTGGAAGAGTGACCAGAAGCAAGGTGAAGAGACGAAGTACTGGAGATTTGAATACGTCGATACTGGAAGCGACAACAACGATCAACAAGGGGAAACCAGTCGATGCGCCAGATTTGAAAAATCACTTCGGAACACAGAGTTCCATTTTTCAGATGCATCCTTTTTGTGCACTTTTCTCAAGGCATTCTCAACATAT